CCTGTTATGTTGGCAGCTCATGGTAGCTTGCGAACATCGCAGACGCCCACCTGGATTGTTCTAGTTGCGAAGGGTAATATCCCGAGCGGCACTTCTCAGCTTCGCTCGGCTATTGTGTTAAGATGAGCAACCTGAGACCAAGGACAAGGCCATCGCCCTCTTCCACCTATATGCCTTCCATGGTCAGGATCTCCAACCTGTATGAGTTCCACGCTGTAGCATCCCAGCAGTGCCTTCAACCGATGTCAGCCATGGCTTTTGCGACAATGCAAGTGCTTAATCTGCTCGTGCTCTTGATAATACGCATGAACATTTCCTGAATTCGTGCTGTCCCGGGTTGGGCAGGCCCTAGTAGTGTAGTGCTGTCAACAGTACGCGGGACATAAACAGAGTCACAAAAAAAAAGTGAACTGTGCCAAGACATCTTGCTACTGCTGCTGCTTTGCTGACTCGTATGACAGGAGAGATCCTTAGTTAGGTTTCGTGTTTTGTCTTACATTGTTCTTTTGTGTGCGTGTGTGCTTGTGCTTTTTCCTTTAATGTGTCTACTGTTTAGCAAGGCTATGGTTCTCATCCTCATGCCTTGCAAGGTGCAAGCCCCTGGCCTTTGTGCTTGCACCCAAGCACCCACTATCGCACCAGGAGTTGAAGGTTCCGCACATCAATCCCATCTCCCGTGCCACGGGGATCATCATCGAGCGGAACGAGGGCAAGAGCCAGGAAGACGCACAGCAACTGGACGAAATTCGTCCTTGATGGGACGCCAAGAGGGTTTCGAATTTTGCGTGATCCCACCCTGTGGATCCTCCTTGAGAGAAAAACAAGGCCATTGTCACAGCCAGAAGCTCAAGATTGGCCCTCTAGAGAGGAAGAGAGCGAGAGAGACAGACAGGCTGTGATGAAGAAGACAGACAGGCTGACTGCCCTCAGCGCCAGCCCCGTCGTGTAAAACAAGCCTGACAGGCAGGCAGGGAGGCATGCAGCAAGGCGGACAGAAATGCAGGCAGACTGACAGACAGATACGCACGGCATATGTTTTGGCACACCTTGGTGATTTCTAGCTTGCTCGTGTTTATTCTCAAACACTCTAAGCGGGAGCAGGGTCTTGCATCGAGGCATGCTAGGTCACCACTCTGCATCGGGGCTGACCCAGCTCACCAAAGATACAGGGCTGAGGGTTTAGCCGCACCCAAGATTCTCTCGAGCCTTGGCCTTGCAGCCTGTGATCTCTTTGTCTCTTTGTCTTTCTCTCTCGTAGTAGCCTTCTCTCACCATTGCTAGCTGCTAGGAAAGCCCCGCCACCCCAGGCCACTACCCCATGTTGGTAACACTAGTGCTGGAATGAGCGTTGTCACCCTGTGAAGATACACTCTGAAACCCAACCTTGTCGACACCCTCCAAAAAAACACAAAAACCCAATACCCGAACAGAGTAGTATTCCCATCCGAAAAAGATTTGACAGCAGTATCCCAAACGAAACCCGTTCGTAATGTCCGTCGGTCTGACTGCGGGTACAGGTAGTTCTGAGGTTTGAGACTTTTATTTGGCTTATTTGGAGGTGGTGGGAGGGCACAGGACACCTTACGAAGCATGGGAGTTGGCGCTGGGTTTGTTTGATTGGATCGCGTCCGTCCCAGCTGTGACTGCTTTTGATTCAGGATGATACGGACATGCGGTCGTCAAAAGATAAGTGGTCCCTTCTTGCAACTCTTTCGAAGAAGGACCCCGCTGTACTATTGCAGGATCCGTGTTGAGGCTGCTTGTCCCTAAGTATCCACCGCCAAGGTTCCTGAGAGCTCCAAGCGATGAGGAGGTGAAGACCATGGCTCTACATCTCAAGGTGCTTTGCTTCGCGATTTGTATGCATCTCCAGGTCATTGAATATTGGCAGTGCAAATACACGTAGCACAGCCCTGCATTTGCAACGAACATATGTGTACCGAAACTGTAAAAATTGGCAAGTTCCCTCGGACAGCTTTGATGCAGCACTCCACAGTCCTGTCTGCAGACCTTGCCTGGCATTGTCCGAGTGTAAGCGTCAACAAATTCCACTCCTCACCCCAAGCTACACTCTGAAAGAACTGTTTCTGCCGTGCAGGTGTGGGTCTATGCGCTGGGGGCTAGTCGACAGGATGAGAAGATGATTGGAGAGGTCTTTGTCCCTAGCCTCGTCCCGTACGTGACCACATCCCTTGTCGGCGGAACAGTAGGCTCCGACCCGAAGACCTTCACGATCTGGGGCCCGGAGAAGCAGATGCCGCCGGGGTTCTCCCGGGAGCAGGAGCTTCGGCAAGGAAGAGTCAAGGCATTAAGACCTCGCTGCATGTGACGAAATGAGTAGGCGGCGACACGCGGCGCTTCCGGAGGAAGCGAGGTCACGCATTGAGCCCCGAAACCCCGCAGCCAGAGCTAATGCATTGGTTGAAGCTGCTTGCGACGCGAAACCTGCTCAGGACCCATCTTTGCTGACCGAGCACGGAGTGCGGCCTCACGTCGGGGACATGCTCCTGGATTTGAAGTGGATGCCCGTAAGTGCCAGCCAACCCGAGGTGGGTCAGCTGGGCATCACACTCATCAGTGTGAAGCTGGACAACCTGGATGCACCAGAAACAAAGAATCCACGGGTGGAGGTCGTTACTTACACAGAGACCAACTTCACAGAAGTGCGGCTGCCACGCTGGGACCCTCGAAGCACCATGCGTAAGATTTCGCACCAGCTGGCGATGGCACCAGCGGTGACAGAGCACGTGCAGTTTGATCGCACGATGAGAAGGGAGCCATCAACGGGGCGACTCTTCAAGAAGGTCAACTCAGGAGACCACGGCTGGAACAACCAGGAGAAGGTATGGAAGTGGGCTCCGCAGTATGGCCAACAGTACTCGGCGGAACGCACGACGTTCCGCAAGGCCGTCTGTGAACGGGCAGTGGTGAGTTCGACCGGCAACACGAAGCCCAATCTCATCACCATGCACGCATGCCGCCTGATCACGGCGGGGATCTTAACCCGAAGTTTGCAGCCTGTGACGCACCGGCAATGCATCCAGATCGCGGAGAATGTCTTCAGCAGATGCCAGGCAGTTCCGGGCATTTTGGATGCGATCCTCATCGAGGGAGACTGCACAGGTGCAAGCGAAAGCCTTGTGAAGGCCAAGGAAGAGTTCGCTGAACAGGGGAAAAATTGGACGGACGTGAAGAAGAACATGATCGTCGCCCACGAGCTGCACGTGGCCATGACCCGCGGCTGAATTTCAGTCAGCTGCTTCCGACTAGAAAACGCACCCGGCCCGCTGCCCCCACATGCCCCCACCCCCAAAAGGACCGGCTTCGGCCTCGACATGTTCACGCCCGACAGCAACCGGGAGGCCGGAAAGGTTGGACGAAACCCTGCGGGTGCCCGTTCCAAGCAAGACCGCGGAAACCCAGCTCTGACCACCATGACGAGTTCTCTAAGGATGCAATCCTGTTTTGAAGTCTCGCACGAAGGCTCGGCGACGATCCAGTGCTCATCCCCAGACCCTACAACAAACCCCAGAACGTCGGAACATGGGTTTAGGATGATTAGTGCTCGGATTCCTGGTACCTTACTTGAAGGGCATGAGGATTAGAATGTTCCAACTTTATGGCTTCTACCAGCCCATTTGCAATTTACTCGTATTCCACTGATTGCCTCGTTGCCCTGCCCAACGGCTCGTTCAGCAACGCTGGATGCATTTAGAAAGCAGGCCTTCTAGCGAGGAAATCGCTTTCATTCTCGTCGACACGTTCTTGGTAATGGCTGGTAAGTTCCTGACTGTGTTGGGTCAAGCCTTGCCTGTGTGTAGTTTTATTGATGATGGCGTAGCAGCGTGTGCAGCAGTCTTGAAACCAGGTGGGCGTTGACCGTCCGAACCGCAAGACACAAGGCGTTAGAAATCCTGAGCCTGACGAGGTCGGTAAAGCTTTGCAGTTGAGCATGCTGGAGATCCCGGACCCCTACCCAGAGCAGCCAAAGACTCTCTGGCTGCTCGGTTGAAGTGCGTCGCAGGCTTGCTTCCTTTTGGGCTGTTCGTGGTTTCACCTCTATTGGCAAACACAAACAAGCCGTATTCCCAGCCACCCGAATGCCGCCAGCACTGCAACTGCGGGAAAAGGTGACTTTCAGCGTTTTCCACTCTCGTTCAGCTTAGGTCTTTGGATGAGTTTCGCTTTCCGCCGTGGGTCTCATTTTAAATTGTCGATCCCAAACCAATCGCCGACAGATCTACAGGCTTCGCTACTGCCGGGCTGGCGATGGCCAGCGCTTCAACGCGAGGATCCCCGTGGACAGCGACGGTTCGCTCAGAGGCGGCGAAGTTCGCTTTGACATGCCGCTGGGGCTGTGGCAAGGAGCATGAATTTTACTGCAGTGGTGCAGCATCCTCTTCCCAGTGCGGCAAGTCATATTGTCATGCCATACGGCAGTGAAACATGTCAGCTGCCGGCTGCTCTTTGCAAATTGAAGACGCTGTTTGTGTCTCCATCCACAAGCAGGTGGTACACAGCATCTGCATAACATACTTCGCAAGCAAGGCTACGGCTACATGATGCCGTGCTAGACAAAAACATCCGACCACAAAGCCCAAGACCCTTAGCCCTGTGGCCCCTGAGCCTCGCGGACTCAGAACCCGCAGCAAATCGCAGCAGTGGCAGGAAACATAGCCGCAGATGGGGACAACAACTTCAACCTAACAGCAGTATTGTTGCTTCCATGCTCCTCTTACTGCTGCTAGTCCTGCGATTACGACCGAACAGTTGCCCGGCAGCCCAGGAATGCGGCCTCGCCCTCAGAGGCCGAAGCAGCGCAGGTCCAGCTGCACCTCACGAAGCAGGACGAGAACAAAGGGGTGGAAAACATACCGCAGAGCTTTCAGTCGTCATGTCCGTATACAGGTACGAGTCTAAGCACACATATTTCCTGGTATAGTGCCCGTCTGCCTGCGACCAACAAAGTGCGTGTGTGTATGTGTATATGTCTATGTCTA